GAAGTCCATCGAAGATCCCGAAGCCTTTTGGATGGATATCGCGAATGAGTTCTATTGGAAGCGATCGCCAAACAAACCATTGGTTTCCTATAACTTCGACGCATCCAAAGGACCCATTCGTGTGAAATGGTTGGACAGCGCCCTCACCAACATGTGCTATAACGTGTTGGACAGGGTTGTCGATAAGGGACTGGGCGATCGAGTTGCCTATTACTGGTTCGCGGAGTTTATCGTATTTTTTAAATATGTCTAAAGTTTGCTAACTATTCAGGGAATCAAATGATGACAATTCGCACCGAATAGTCACTTACAATAATTTACTGCGAGATGTCTGTAGGTTCGCGAATGCGCTCAAGAGTTTGGGCGTCAAAAAGGGGGACAGAGTTGCCATCTATATGTCGGTCGCAATAGAGCTGGTGGTTGTCATGCTGTCCTGCGCCCGGATCGGTGCCATTCACACCGTTATTGTATGTGTTTTCGCATTGAAATATAAAAATGTAAAAAATGTCATTTTAGATAATTATCTTTAATGAAGTCTTTGAAAGCATGAAATGTCTTGATTTCACTTTCAACGAGAATTATTTTATATGAATAGGCCGGTGCTGAATAAGCCCAAGAAATACACATTTCAAACTGTAACTTAAAAATGTTGCCAAAGTTTGCTAAAATTAGTTAGAAATGTGTATTTCTAGGGCTTATTCAGCACTGGACATCCATATGTTTTACTAAATGGGGAACCTCGTTAGGTGTCAGCAAATTGTGCCAGGATAATCTTTATTAACATAAACTATATGATCATATCTACCATTTGAATTGATCAAACCTACCGAATATCACCAACTAATCCCGTCAATTCAATTACAGTCACTGGTGACATGCACATTTTAAATATTAAATAACATTATAAATATGGATGGCTATTCAATAATACAGTGATTTGTTTATATGAATTCATAGACTTGTATTTTCCGTAAATATAATCACACTTTGTATTAAAATCTGACGGTTAATTGCCGTCAAAGTATTGGTGAAGTGCCGTTTACATTTATAATGTTATTTTATATGTAAAATATGCATGTCACCAGTGACTGTAATTGGATTGACGGGATTAGTTGGTGATATTCGGTAGGTTTGATCAATTCAAATGGTAGATATGATCATATAGTTTATGTTTATAAAGATTATCCTGGTACAATTTGCTGACACCTAACGAGGTTCCCCATTAAGACTTATGATAATAATCCGATAGTTCGCCGGATTTTCGGCCCCAGCACTGGCCGACCGTATAATGGATGCCAATTGTATACTATTAGTGACGGCCGACGGCGCCTACAGAGCCAACAAATTCATACCATTGAAGTCTATTGCGGATTCAGCCCTCGAAATATGCAAAAGAATGTAATTATTATGAGCAAGCTCCTATTCAATGAAAATGATTAACCCAAAAATTTTACTAGGAACCATAAAGTGATAGCTACTATCGTGAGCCCACACCTAAAACTGTACACCGCTCACGGTATGGACAATAACGCGACCATTAATTACGACCCAAAAGTGGATATCCTGTGGAAAGACATCATGAAAAGTGTTTCCGATTCGTGTGAACCCGAGTGGATGGAGGCCGAGGACACACTTTTCATACTATACACGAGGTATTTGTAATTAATGTTTATTTTCTTGTAGTTCAATCAAATGAACCCAATTATCGGCCTATATTTCTCATGGTTTCTAATTTTGCCGAATAAGTCTAGTAATCGTAAAAATAATATTTTTCAGACTAATGAATTTTAAAGCACTTTTAGGTGACTTTCAAATAGTCGCATAAAAGAATATAATTACAGTCTGACCCCGCAATAAGGTAATTCGGTATAAGGTAAACCACGTGATAAAATATATTGGTTTACTGCACCGGCAGCTCCAATGGGTTTGTAATGTTAAACTACATCCAATATAAAGTTCTTCAATATATACCGTAAATCTCGATATAAGGCTCACATAATTTTGGCCAAATGGACACCATTTACAACTTTACCCCCGAAATAAGTTAATGTTACGCTCGTAAAAAAAGTGAAAACAAGATATTTATTTTTAAAATCATGAACATACAATTCTAGAAAAATAGAGTTTAAATCAAAATTACTAAATTAAAATATTTTGTTGTCTCAGTGGAAGTACTGGAAAGCCTAAAGGGATCGTACATACGATCGGCGGTTATCTACTCTACGCTTACGTAACATTCAAATACGTATTCAATTACACGGACGGAGGCGTGTTTTTCTCGACGGCCGACTTGGGATGGATGGCGGCCCACACTTTCAGCGTTTACGGGCCGCTCGCCAACGCCTGCTCTGTAGTGCTGTTGGAGGGCACGCCTGTCCACCCAAAACCGGACCGCCTCTGGAATATAATCGACAGATTAGGCGTCAATATCTTCTATACGGCGCCGACTATTATCCGATCGCTCATGAAGTTTGGCGACCATTACGTCCGGCAACACAAACGCTATTCACTCAAAGTGTTGGCCACAGCCGCCGAACCCATTAACCCCGAGGCCTGGCGTTGGCTCTGGACTGTCGTCGGCGACCAAAAGTGTCCCGTTGTTGACAACTACTGGCAAACGGAAACGGTATGCAAACAACGAATGTCTCGCAGGGGACTCACCCAAAAGGCCTAATACCGAAAGGACCTGAACAACTAACTCGCCAATGGTCATTTGACCTAATTTAGCTTATGGTAGGTTAGGTTGGGTTAGGACTCGTCTATTCTATTAATCAAATTAAAAATATGTCCACTGGTCAGTTAGTTATTTGAGTTTAGGCCTTTTCGGTTATAGCCTATAACTTATAGGTCTTTTTGGGTGGAACCGTCTCGCAGAAATAAGTTTACAATCTATTACTTGACAATTGATTTAATTATGTCCGCAAAGGGCGGACCAATGGTCGCATGCCTTCCGGGCGCCACTCCCATGAAGCCGGGATCGGCTGCCATTCCTTTCTTTGGTGTGATTCCGGCGATACTGGACGGGGAGGGCAAAGAGCTGGAGGGCGCCGCTACGGGACAGTTGGTTTTCAAGAGGCCGTGGCCCGGCATAGCCCGCACCATAGATGGCAAACACGAGTGGTATGAAAGCACTTACTTTCGTAAGTTTGTGGGCTATTACTGGACGGGCGACGGCGCCCAGAGGGACACCGATGGCTACTATTGGATTACCGGCCGGACGGACGATACGCTCAACGTTTCCGGTCATCTCCTGTCGACAGTAGAGGTGGAGACGGCTATCGTAGAGCACCGGGCGGTGGCCGAAGCGGCCGCTGTGT